GGGGGGGGGGGGGCGGCGTAACTGGTCTGTCCATAAGCTGCAAGCCTACTTACTTGTAGGCTACTAAACATCAATTAAGTATATCTTGTTTCCTCACCATCATAAATCATTAAGGAACGCGACTAGTGGTTTGCCATTAATGGGTTTTACTTACACCTGCTCTTGCACCTGCTTGAACAAGATGTTTCCAGGGATGTAGAACGTGCTTAGGAGCAAGAGAACAGTTGCAATCTTAGCCTAAAAATTTCCTCACTATTCCATAACGCAATGAGCGCAAAATTTCAAAAATCATAATGAGTTGGTCTTCTGTTTTCTTGTTATTTTAACTATGCTATGAAAAAGAAAAAAACCTTTTCCTTGAGCAATTTCCTCACGAGCTTATGAACTTGCTCAAGTCATGCGTAAGCCATGGACTGAGACCTTACGCACTTTTTCTGCACCCTTAGATATCTATTATCTAAAATCTCCTTATAAAAAATCCTTGCTTTCCCATTGCTCTCTTCTAACTTCTTCCCAACATTACACACATTTTACACGGTGGGCCAGAGGGTCTGATCCAGATTACTTCTTAGAAAAATTCATCACTTTTATTTTTATTCCATTTTGAGACAACATTGGAGGCCTCAAAATTTAGAAAATTTGAGCCTTTACTTATTTCTCCCTGTAGGACGGACCCTCTCTTGGCGCTTGGCGTTAGAATTTTATTCAAACAACTGATTCATATTTCAAAGATACGAGACAAGAGACAAGAGACAAGAATAGTGCCTTCTTCTACCACCTACTGATGGGCTGAGAAATCTGGAGTTCACCAGGGAGTGGATAGGAGGAGTAAATGGGGAAGGGGGACGGTGGTACTATTAGGTATCTCTGAAATGTCAATTAGTATTTAGAATGAATTCTAACGCTAATTATTGTCGATACATGGTCCGCTCTGAAGGGAGGATAGGGGAAGGGAACTTATAATTTTACTCACCTATATGAATTTTTGTTCTCTTTTCCCGAGTTAAGAGGGAAGAATTAGTTTAATTTAAGAATGAGTAATTCAATTGTGATCCTCACTAAAGAACTCCATAGAGTGAAAATATTTTGGAGTAGAATGAAATTGATGGAATGGGATTATAACTGGCAAGAAAACAGCAAAGTACAACTTTTTGGCTAGTTTATTAATTTTTCCATTGATTTAATTGCAACGCACTTGACACTAATTTATCACTTGCACAGAGAGAGGATCAATTGAGATACAAAAATGAATTTCACAGATTCTGATCAAAAGGACAAGGGGACAAATTACAAATTATGAACAAAGCTTAAAAATGTATGAAACAATATATACAAGAAAAAATGGTAAGTCAAGGAGTATCATCAGACAACAAAACAAAAAATAATTAGGGTACGACAATAATCTTAATTTTTAAAATCAAGGGTTTTTCCCATGATACTTTCAATGGTCTATTTGGTTCCCCCTTGATGGTTATCAAAAACGTGGCAGGTTCTTTCAGGCGATGCTTGAAATGAAGGGTCCAAACACCATGTTTCTTATGCAGTTTGAGAATACCCTCTTCGTTGCCATCTACAATTTCGTAGTGAAAGTCATTCTGGAATGAAAATCAAAGGAAACACATTTTAATAAAAAAGCTACAGCAGCGGCTATGCGAGACAATTATGAAGCGATTGAAATAGTTGTATTGCATTTTGCAAAAAGGAACCAAGAGCATTCCAATATCCCTGCGATTTTGCAACTTCTTTTACCTTGCAAATATAGATAGATCATCCTAACAAGTTTTATCTTTATTTCCAATAAACTATAAATTCAAGACGGAAATTACTGTTGTAAATTTAATTTTTCGCATGATTTCAGTAATTTTATTGCAAGGAATGTAAGTTGCACGTTACTAGCAACACTGAAATGATTTTGGTTACTTTTTGCAAAATGTAATCCCGTTTAAATGAATGATAATTTGATTGCATTTAGAAAAAGGAACCAGCGCAATGACAGTGTTGTAAAAATGTTACTCCTTCATAATCCTGTAAAAAATCTCTCAGAATAGCAAATAGTTTAAGCTTCCTACCAAAAAATTGTCAATTTTAAAAGAAAATAATGGTGTAAATTTTAATAAGGTATACATATAATAAGTATTTTTAAAAGAAAAGATGAAGTTACATGATTTTGAAGATACTGTAATCTTGCTGGTTCCTTTTTGCTAAGTGCAAACAGATTTATATTTTTGAAATAAATACACTTAGGTAACTAGAACATTAATAAAAATTGATCAGAGCATTTATCTGACCAAACTGGACGGTTAACTGCTATATCAATGCAGATACTCCAAGATCTGCAGTATGCATCATGTTATGACTCAGCCGCACAAGAAAAATAGAGGGCTCAACAACGATTACCTATTCAGTATATTAACATTTAAGTTTACTTCAATCCATACATTTCCTCTAATTTAAGGGAAGCGAGTAACTAGAACCCTCTTAATTTTTAAAGTTCACTTTTTGTGCCAGTTTACGCCTAAAGCTCTAAAATGAGAAAAAAACTTAAATTTCCTGTGCTCTCAAAATCAGAAGTTGTATGTAAAAGTTAAAGCACTCAGGAACAGAAGCAGACATGCCTCCTCTGTTGGGGTAAACCTACAATTGTCCTTGCAGTACATAAAACAAAGGAATTCCTAATTCCTGATTAAGGCCTAAAATAAGGCAGATCATTTTCATTACTTTTACTGCCAGGCACTTTTTAAGAACAGATACTTTGAAACTCATAACCATACAATGGTAACTTTAATTTCATCTTGAATATTTGCAAAAAAGATAGTAACTTGGACAGCAAACGTTTCAAAATTTGCCGGAAATACAATCAACTAGACTGGTTGACTGATTGAAAATTATACATGAATATTTCCACAAAAGATCATTGAGGCTTGAAAAATCAAGTTCAAAGTTTCTTTCTCACCTTAATAGCTGGCCGTAATTTAATGACATGTGTTCGATGTTTGGTCTGTGCGAGGTTAATATGGAGGGTTTCAAAAGTTTCAACTGCAACCTCTTGCCTTTTCCTTCTGTTCATGACATGAATCTGAAAATAATAAAATAAAAGGACATGAATTGATACAACATGATTAAACTGAGCTTGAGGGAGGTGGCAGTTTCACTCTGAGATTTCAATAATCCATATTATGTACTGTAAATTCTAAATTTTGACCACAGCCAAATTACAGTGCCAAAACCTGGTCTAGTTAGGTTACGGCAACCACTAAGCAATTAGAATTTAGAGGCTGCAAATCTTACTTTTGGGTATTATCTCTTGACAATATATTGCCTCATTGTTATAGATACAAATATATTTCTAATGATCGGATTATTTAGATGGAAAACTGCAAACAACATTAATATCGATGATGCTAGGATTTTTGCAGAACAACTAAATTACCAGTTCTGAGATTTTTTTGCCTTAAAGATACTTCTCTGGAAGAGCACACATAATTACTTTTTAGATGTACAGGATGCTATACTTATTTCTGTTTCGTTCATTGGTTTAGAAAACAAGGGATAAATAATCGGAGTTTCTAAATTCATACCTGATCATTTTCAGAGTGAGAGGTGGTATTTCTGCTATTTTCTTTATTCCGTTTTAACTTTAACTTGTCACGATTTTTCTTCTTATGCCTGTTATGATTTGAGCTTTGGGTACCATTTGTCATCCTTCTATGTCGTCCATTTATCTGAAAATTCAAATTTTCATTGAGAAATTAAACCATGGTATTAAAACTAGAGAGGATCGAAAAATGTCAACACAATACTTTCATTGAGCATAAAACCCTCCATAACAAAGTACTGAAATACATGATCTCGTTTGTGTCACTATTGAAAATGAAAAATGAAGGATGAAGTACAATGCTTCAAAATCAGATTGTACTTTTTTCGAAGTCAATGAAAAAATAATGCTAACACTTCCTAGTTATCCTTCTTTCTTCTTCCGTATACAAAGAAAAATAAGGCAACTTTAGACTTGTGTCATTATCTAGCCTTTGAATCAGCAATAAGTACAAATCACGTTTCTGGTCAAAACCATGCTTATGATTGAGTTAAAATATCCTTCCTCAGAATTTTTCACTCTCAACTGAATTATGTCTTAGAAAGGGTGTTAATTTCTATGATGCTGTTTGGAAGAAAAAGGCAAGTTGAGGACAAATCAAAAATTAAAGTCTAGACCTTGCAAGAGAAGCATCCCTCGGTGGAAATTATTTTCCGGTCATTGGTGTCGTCTTCAGGTTTGATTGGATACATTGGAATGTTGCTACCAAATGGGCTAATGGTCAATAGGCAATGACCCTGAAACAAAACCAAAAAACTCTCAATGACGTTCAGAACTGAATAAAATGAACATATTATCAGAGGTGAAAAAGAAAAACGAAGAAAGAAAAAAACCCATGCAGATTGCTTCATTTGGAACTTCGAAATTCTCTGAACAAAGAAGCAGTTATTAAAGTCAAGAGAAAATGAACATATTGAATATTGTAGTTTTACTCCATCAGTGAAACAATGCCTGGCAATTCTCCACAGAACGTTAGCTTGTTTTTACATCTAATATTAAAATTGTATACTAACTGACGGAGAGAAAAATAAAAGAGATGAGTTCTAACTCATCAAGACCCTTTTTGTTCAGGTTGATACAGAGAGTATTACGGTCAGTAATTCTGTACAAATACAGCCTTTTATTCCACAGCTGCTGTTTAATGTTCATTTTTATCTTCTTGATTTGGTGTTTGGACATTAAAGCTTTGATGGGAGTATAAAATTGTAGAGGATCAACTGCTAGAAGCCTGGAGTTTGTATTGCTGCTTGCTTCCAACTTCCACAGCGATTGTTTGCTGTGATAGGACTGCAAAGAAGTGTAATATTAATTACGGCAAAAATTTTTAACCAAAAATCAATTTGGCCTCTACAAAACTATGGATGACTCCAGACTCCTTAAAATTATGTTAAACTACAGTAATTTGAGAGGAGGTATTTTGCCTCTTAAAGAGATCAATACAAAATAGGACATATAATTAAGGAAAAAATTATTGAGATCCTTACCTCGCCAATACGATAATATCCTGAAGGACACCCACAGCTAAATCCACTGCTGCCTATCGCGTTGCAACCAAATTCACAAGGACTATCGAGGCAATTTTTACTGAGCTGTAAACACAAAAATATTTGAGAGGTAAAAAGAGAGATTCTTCACACTGAATACGTTTTAAATATGTATTTCCTTATTGGTGATGAAACCAGAGAAACACATTCCTTGGTTTCAGAGTAGTAAACTTCCTGTCATATTATTTCAACATAAAAAAATAATCCTTTTATACTTCATGAAATTTCTCATCATTTTACTTTCTCGCTCCCCTCACAGATAGAGGAAGTATTGTTTTTCACTGTACGAAAAATCATTTAAAAATTTGACATTCAATTAATTGGTTTTCCATGAAAAAATTAAGTAAGAGTAGATACATATTATTTTCTTTCACAACATCGTAATTTCTCTCTGATGAGATATTTGTGGACCTATGCCTAATGATTAAATCCAACTAACACAAAAAGGGTTTCAAAATGAGATAAGCAGGCAGGCTCAGATTACCCTATGGGGCAGAAGGGGCAGCTGCCCCCAGCGCCAAATTCCGAGTTCCAAGAAGGAGGGGGGAAAAAGAAAAAGAAAAATAGAGACCACACCATCTGGGCCTGTAAGCAGGTATGCCAAATTATGGAGTGTTGAAATTGAAATGAGCCGATTTGTTTGGCTTGATCTCAAAAAGTAAATTTTGATCTCAAAAAGTAAATAAATATCATGTATGGAAAGAAATAAACTTACCTGTAAACAGAGTAAAGATCCTTCATCAAATTGGAAGCCAGGTGGACAGTCACACCTATAGCTACCCACAGTGTTGATACATCGGGTTTGATTTCCACAAGGATTTTGAGCACACTCGTTCTCATCAAGACACTGATTGAGGTATGCATGCTGGATAAATCCCTCTGCACATCCGCACTTGTATTTTCCCATTAAGTTCTGAAAAAGAGGAGGAATTGAATTCTTAAATTTAGCAAAAAGGATGATTCACATTGATTTTACACGAACGAGAAAAAGTCTTGAAGCGTAGAGGAGGATTGAAGCACAAAGATTAAGCAGATCGGCTAACGATCAGCGCCAATTATTGTAGATGAGTTGGTCAAAATTAGAATACATTGCCAGGCATATAGATATATTCAGAAAAATGTGATTGATTTGGCAAAATTGATATAGTTGGGTCGACATTGCACTTCGTGGTTGAGCAGAATGGAGAATTTACATGCATATTTTTTTATTGCTTCATCTGAAATTGCCTCAAGAGCTGATTTTGCAGTATTTTTTATAATTTTTTTTTTGGCTATGGGGTATAGAATATAATTAGATTTAAAAGTGAGAAAATGCGCCACCTAGTGACGTCATCTGGCAGCATTTCCCATTTAAACGCATGTATTTTAGCAGATTAGACCATTTTGTCATATCTCCTTCAATAATTGTTCAATTTATGAACCAAGGGTATCCTTGTGTCCAGTTCACTTGGTTGCGTCCATTCAAACACGGAATTCATCAAATTTCAGACACCTGCAAATTCTCCATTAGAGAATTGATGTTGCATATCTGTAGGCCTCTACAGTAAATGGTAGATTTGTTACAGAAGTAACTTAAACATTGAAAAATTATAGAGAATCTAATTTATTATACCTGACAACTATTCTGACACTTATTGTCATCAGAGCATTCATCAATATCTGTACAGTACGTCCCACTAGAATCTAGTTTGTAGCCTAGAGGACATAGGCACCTATAACTTCCAAGGGTGTTGATGCAATTCCCTGGTGGAGGACAAATTGCGCTGTGGTTGGCGCACTCATCAATATCTGTAAAACAAAAATATTGAATGAATCATGGAGCGTTCAAAAAAAAAAAAAAAAAAAAAAAACTGATCTCATGATTTGTGATGCTCCTAGGTATTCGGATTTCATGATTCAGGTACATATGTACTCACTACATTGTTCAAAGCTGTTTTTAAATTAATTTTAAAAAAGTTTAAAGGACCATGGACTGGGGAAAATTGGAAATCCCTGCTATAATATGGTGAATTAATCACAGTGAAGCGGGTTGACAACAGTCCAGTCTGCTGGAGACATGTTAGTTTTATTTGCCGTCTATACCTACGAAATTTGGGGATCAGTGACAACTGTGTTTACTTGCATTGAAGATAATGAAGAGAGATAACATTTAAATCTGCTTCATGTGAACAAAAAATTGAGTTTAGAAAACAGTTTGCAGATGTTTAAGCTAGTAGCACTTAATTTGAAAGACTTTTTGGTATGGTAGCTAGTGCTAGGAGATGAAAGAATTGCATAGTTTCATGGAAACTTACATTTATTTACATTAAAAATAGGCCAGAAGCTTTTTGGCCGAAAGCCATCTTCAGGGACAGAAGCTTTAAGTTCAAATATTACTACTAGAGATAACAGTGGTGGCAAAAGTTTTTCATATTGCATTTATCGCACACTATTTGATTGCAAAACATTGGATAATTCAGCATATTATCGATTGGCACTAAAGTCCTCTCCTCCTCATTTTATCTTGATCCATTATCATACAGGTACAGAAAAGGAGATTAGATAATTTTTATACTAACCAATACAGTGGTCGCCGACTTGCTTGTAGCCAGGTAAGCAAGAGCACTGATAAGATCCGTGGGTGTTGGTGCACTTTTGATAGCAAATATGCTCTCCGGTTGCACATTCGTCAATGTCAACACAGGTCCTATTGTCATGGCTTAGCGTCAATCCAGGTGGGCATGAACAGATGTAGCTTCCAATTGTATTCTCACAACCCATATCGCAAGGGCTAGGACGAGAATCACACTCATTCACGTCTAAAAAAATACAAATACATTAGAATTAGTAAATATCAAAGAGGAAGAGATAAACTGGTAAATAAAAACACATTCATAAGCATTTACATCTCGACACATTTTTCATTTTTTGGAGTTGGTTTTAACAAAAATCGCAACCTCATAATTACTGCGTAAATAAAGACAAAAATTATAGCAATTATTTCAGTGTAATCTGAAGTATATCACGCTTAAAAACCCTGGGAGGGTTTGACTTTTAATTTGAGACTTACAATAAACTTAGTAAGAATATTTACCTCTACAATGGGTTCCTCCATGATCAGGTCTGAAACCTTTATTACAGATACATCGATATGATCCCAAAGTGTTGATACAACGGCCATTGCGACATAGCTCTGGCATAGTCTGGCACTCATTTATATCTGAAAAAACAAAAAATAAAATGTAGAAGTTGATGAGACACTTGAGAATCCTAAGAATTGATTTTAGACTCTTTAAGTTTACTTATTGATTAATGCAGACTTCAGATGTTGCAAAGCTTGTAAATGCAACGATTAAAAAAGTCTGAAGGTGCTTTATTCACTGTCTTTTCTAGCTTGAAACTGCATTATAACAGGATCCATTGAGCATTACAGTTATTATCCAACTCCGCGACGGTGATATCCGGAAGTTTTTCAATTTACTTCGCGATCTTCTTTTGAGCAAGGCTTTTTATAATTTGAACGAGTTTCTAAACTCATCTGTTGTGTAACGTTCTAACCACCAACTAATCTACAGTTGTAATTTATATTTTTAATTATTGTATAGTGTTTCTTGACCTGTGCCATAGCCCTAATAATGGGGCTCCCATGTACAAAAGTTTTAATAAATAAATAAAAAAATTATAATTCTGGTTTCCAAAGGATTGAAGGTTTTCATTTTAGAGGGAAAAACTCATTTGAGCACAATTTTCTCTCAAAGAGAAATGTTGATTGATAAGTAAGGTAGGTGTAGATCCGTTTCAGGACTAATAGACCCATCATCAGTGCAGCACGGTCTCCCGACTTCCTACTTCCAAGCTCAAAGCAGTCCTCAATACGAAACTAAGGTTTGGGACAGCGGCTACAGTGGCAAGACAACTAACGCCATCTGGTGAACGAATTATTCATACAGCTCAGCTAAAACCCTGGCAAAGCAGCATTACTACAAACAGACTGTGGTTGGACAAAGGATTGGTGATTTTGTCAACATACATCAAAATTTAGTATAAAACTGAAATTCTCCTATTATTTGGTTTCTAGTTATAGAATGGTTTCAGTTTTATATTATGGTTCAGAGGAGATACCTTACCTAATCCATCGAAAGCATAACCAGATTGCTGAGGGCAAAGTGAATGAAATTCTTCGGAATTACGAGCAGGGCAAGGAAGACATTGAGAGCCCCAAGCAACTCCCATTGTGCAACAACACTGAGCGCGGGTAACTTCTAACCCAGTGTGATTGTGCAAGAGACACTTCCCGTTGGTTACATGTTCATAACAGTATGATTTCCGATCGTCTAGGATGAAAAAAAGAACAGATTGAATGTAAAAATAAGTTAAAATTACGTATTTCATGTTATTTTGACTGTTTGATTTGGCAAAACTATGACTGAGAGCATCACAAGCATGAAAGGGAAACAATAAAAGTCTGGCAAGTTAAGAATCTGTAAGAATTAGCATTAGGTAATTTAATAATTTGCTGGGAAGAATGTGTTTGAGAGGCAGTGGATAGGAAGCTTGGAATATTCCCACTGAAAAAATTAGGAAGAGCCTCTGTGGTCCAAGACAACCTGCATTCAAGTAGCGGTAAAAGGCACAGGCTACAATCGTGGAGTTCTAATTGATGATTAGAAGAAGAGGAAACGTCAATCGTTACCCATTATACTTATGATTTAGTATATAAAACAAAATAAGCTGCTCTCATAATTAGATATTTATTTGAAAAATTAATGATTATTATGATTTCAAAAGTACTGTAAGTTTAATTGGCAGAGTATAGATAATTTTCTAAAATTTTGGGTAAAAAATTATTATTTTTCCATCCAAATGAACCAATGGGAAGTAAAAAAATTCAGTAATGAAATATTTCATTTTTTCAGTTTCATCTTCCAGACAGAGAAAAGGAACAGATCTGAATCGTTAAAAATAGACCAACCTAAACAATGTTTGTTGTCCACACTTGATTTATAGCCATCAAAACAGTCACAGCGGTAGTTGCCCAATAAATTAACACACGTGCCATGTTTGCACAGATTAGGGTCATTGGCACATTCGTCAACATCAACGCAGTCATTAGGAGTGCTGGCTGGCGCAAAACCTTCAGGGCAAATACAGATGAATGAACCAATCAGGTTCTTGCACTGGTACTTGCAGTTGTTTGCTGGTGTCACGCATTCATCAACATCTGTAAAGAGAGAAGAAAAAGGGACGTAAGTGAGTATTAAGGTTGACATAAGGTTAGCAGATAAATTTTTTGTGAATAGATGAACTTTTATTCAGGATTGCAGAAAAGGCTCAAACTACTTATCTATGGATTATGGTAAACATAAGGTATGGTAAGCAAGGTTTGTGGGAACTTTTAAAAATTGATAACCTTCCTCTCATAAAACTAGAAGATCTGGGCACAAATTATGAGAAATATAGACGAGCTCAGAGGAGATTTTGAAGAAACTGAAAAATTCTTTGGTGAAAAAATAAATGTCAAATTGCGGTGAGTGGTCAACATTTTAGAACTTTCTACATCCTAGAAATTATAGACATGTTCTCTTAGCAGTACTTCAGATCATTTTGCATGGAACTCAGGAAGACTCAGTACATTTACCTTGACAATGTCTTCCATCAGGGGCCAGAGTGTATCCATAAGGGCATATACAACGATAAGAACCAGGAACATTGTGACAGCGGAACGCGCAATGGTTTGACATTTCTATACATTCATTAACATCCTCGCAAACCTAAAGATGAAATAAAATATAGAGTAAACAAAAATTATTCTGGTCTATTATTCATTATGATTCAAAGACAACTTGGAAAACCAGAGGATAGTTGAAGTTAAAAATTGTCTGTATCAATTATTTTCCCAAACAGAGAAAAGACATAACTCAGTTACAAACTAATTGAACAAATGGACTTCATAGGATTTGATGATAACATGAGCTTGAATTTTAGTTTCTTCTAATGTTATAGGTGAGAAAATATAAGTGGAAACAGAATATAAGCCACTCAAGGCACTGAAGATGGATGGTTCAATGATAGGGACGGAAAGTGAATGATCATGAAAAACATTTTTATATGAAGCAAAAATAAAGTACCAACTTGGAGTGGCCCTGAAGTGTAACCATCGCTGCAAGAACACTCAAAACCACCTATGAGATTAGCGCAAGTCCCATTGCCACACAGATTAATATTAGAGCTGCACTCATTTTCATCTGTGAAAAGAGACAGGAAAAAGAGGAAAATTTAAAATTAAGATTTTAAGAGACATTCAATGCACCATGCGTAGAATGCTTTTCCCAGTTATAAATACTAAAGACTTGCCAATTACTATAATAAAAACAAGCTGTCTGTCTGGCAGGTCCAGAGACAAAAGACAAGAGGAAGCATAAAAATTCAAGTGACATGAATTAAAGAATCCAAATTCTCTTGGGTATCGAGCCCAAGAGGCCATGAAATTTGTTATTTTAGTTTAAATAAATTTCCTTCGCTCAATTTGTATACGCCCAAAAGAATAACTTCATTGACGTCAGTCATTTCGTCATATCAATCTACAAAACACCTTCAATTCAGCTTTGAAACAGTCAACTTTCTCATATTCTTTCTAGACATTTTTCGACAGCATTCTTCATTTGCAAGGTTTCAAACTTCTTGTCTCGCGTTATTTTCAGAAAACAGAAAAATAATTATTTGAGGATTTAAGAGACAAATTCCAGTGGGAAAAATAAAATAATAAAAAAAGAGAATTTTATAGTGCAGGGATACTCCATGAAGTACGATTATTCCAACAGAACTTACCTACACACTTCTTGCCCGTAGAATCAAGGACATAACCTGTTGGGCATTCACAGCGGAAGGATCCATCTGTGTTCACGCAGTCGCCTCCTTCACACACGTTTGGCATTAAAGTACATTCATTCAAATCTTCACCCCAATCACCACGACCAGCACCCTCTGGACACAACTTCTGGAAATCAACTGTAGCATAAAAAAAGAAAAATTATTATCATCTTTAAATGAATGGTAGTATTTTTCGTTTTTTTAATAATCCATCTATAAGTAAGACTGTCAGTATTTATTTTATTTCATCATTACTTAATGTTTTTTATTACATTAAGTCTGTAATCTTGTGTTGAGAGTGACGCATTTATTTTGTAAAATTAAAAGGTTTGCATGGTTTCACTGTTAAACCACAAAACTGTGATTCACGATTCTTCATACAAGTACATCTATGTTGATCAGAACTTGGTGTGTCATCTGATTTTCCTTGTGATTTCTAGGAAGCTTCCCTGGAGTTTGCACCATATAAAAATCAAATTAGGCTTATTGAACACTAAGTTGTTTCATTAGACAATTTCCTGCTAATTTGCCTCAGCTTTTTACCTGTTTCTTGGCGAGGGCAACGTTGACAGTACTGACCCCATGCTGCACCCATGGAGCAACAACATTCTTTCATGGTAAGAGGATGAGCTCTTACTGCAGAACATTCTCCTGTAGGGCAAAAAAATAAGATAAAATTCAGACTACAACTTTTTAGATTAAACTTTAAATGTAACTGTATTTAATTGAGCATTACCAGTTTCCACTAAACAGGAACAAAGTTAGCTTGAAATGCATCTACAGTATTAGAACTGGAACACAACTTGCCTTTAGCAGTTTCTGTAGCTAAATGTTTTAAAGCACTTAAATAACTTAGAAGGAAAATACTCATCATGCATTGTTCATGTTAAGCTCTGATATGACGTTGAGCATGAAACAAAAACAAATATTTTCTTTTCTTTTGCCAATATATTGAAAGCACGAGACTTCATACAGTTCATAACATACTATAATCAAATGAATCATTACGGGAACATCAAAATTTAGTAATGATGGTTTTGATACTTAAGGAGGAGACAGAATTTTTTGATTCATTAAAACTATGAAGTTCCTCCAGTTGCAGGCATTATAAAATTTACAATGAGAAAAAATATTATAAAAAACTTTTGAAGAAAAGTCTCTGGTAAAATAAGCTGTACAGGAAACATCATGACGTATATTTTACAAGAAAAATCCATCAAAAAGCCAGTTCACTTTTCTGTTTCTTTTTACCTCTTCATTTAAAAATTTTTTGAGTAAAATGTTTGAAACCTGATCATTTACGACTTTTTATACGAACAACTTTCAACTTTGTAAAAATTCCCAATTTTACACCTTGATTTTTTTCAAATTACCTTAGGAGTTGTGCTACTGGGGTTGGAAAAAATGTTATAAAGGAATACCTTTGAATAAGTATTGATCATAACAGTAATCTTGGCGCATATCGATACATTTCATCCCATTATGACTCAAAACAAAACCAGGCGGGCAGTCACAAATGACACCACCAGCTGTATTAGTGCAGGTTCCTCCTTCACATATTTTCTCATTTTCAATGCATTCATCGATATCTGAGGAGAAAATTAAATAAAAAACGATTAAAAAACTGAAAGCATGAAAACAAATTTTTTTTTGAACAGCTTGAAAAAAGTTTGATATGAAATCGCAATATCGGCTTTTGATCATTGATCCAGAAAATGTTTTATTTTCTATTGTGGGATACCTACCTAGGGCACCTTAAAAATAAGCTGAACTCGAGCTAGAGCTGCCGCAATTTTTTGCTGAGCTAATCCACTAATAGCGTAGCTTCAGAAATAGCGTGGCTCCTGTTCAAGAGTGAGGAGAAAGTTCGGCAGGCCTTAGCCACAGCACGATCCAAAGCTCACTGAATGGCCAGTCTTGTCTAGCCGTCTTCGTCACTCGCCCTGGACTCCACGAGTGCGCATGCACTGTTTACGCATGATAGCGCGGCGGAGAGATGCGTTGCCGAGGTCTCTCAAAGAAATGAGGTTTAAGGAGGATCACAGAAACGGCGCTCTCAGACACTATTTTAGCATAGACAGATAAAGCATTCTAGACTGAGCGAACAGTAGATTCAAAATGAGATATTGAGGACAATTTTCAGGCAAATATTCCAAACCACTTCTAGATAGACAAAAAAAATTCAAATATTGTATTTAGATCACAGGAGGTTTGTTTTACCTTCTCGTAAAACACATGGAAATAAATTTGATAAGTATAACGTTTCATAAATCCATCGTTCACTTACCAAGACAACTTTTTTTATCAGCAGCCAATCTATAGCCCGGAGGACAGGTGCATATGAAAGACCCCATCAAATTTTGACAGCGCCCTGGGTTAGGGCAGGTTCCATTAACCTATGACAAAAAGTTAACTTTAACATTCTCAATAATTTAATACATTAAAATTTCATTCTTGCTCCTCTGAAGCCATCGACAATGAGTTAGAGGAAAGAGTAACTACACTGGAGATTGACAGAATGATCGGAAGAGAATTACTCTTTCATCAGTTTAGGGATTAAGAAAAGTGACCGTCTGCGGACAAAAGAACTTTAAATCTTACAAACAAAACTTTTGGCAAAGCACTTGCTTGCCACCACAGCTGCCTATTTGTAGAGGTCAAACTTTTTAGGGACTTATGGGACATCTTGTGAGCACTAGCCGTCCGCTTCAAATTTTATGAAATAAAATGCCGAAGCAAATGCTTCAAAATATAAATAATGCATAAAATTGAAATAATTAATTACCTCGAGACACTCATCAATATCTCTGCAGTTCTGCCTGTCTGGCGATAATGCATACCCATCTGCACAGTCACAGTTAAATGATCCAACAGTATTCCTACAACGTCCATTACGGCACAAATATGGCATCATCCGACACTCATCAACATCTAAAAAAACATTTAGTATTGTAATTATTTGCTGGATTTTAAAATATGATATAAGCTGCAACCAGGAATGACTTTTGCTTGTAATTTTTTTTCCTGCAAGTAAAGCTGAAATTTTAAAAAGAAAGAAGGCAGCCCTTCATCAAATATTAATATTAATTTATTTTCAATATTTGAAAACTTGTTTTGATAAGGAAAAACTTAAATTCATTGTAAAAAAGTAAAAAATTTGATAGGATTGGACTATATTGGACTGTTCAGATCCTACGGTATCTTGAAGGAAACCAATATTCTTTCAGAAAGATCAAGATATCTTTACGAGCAGGTGCATTGGCTCAACCGTGCGATTTTTAGCTTTGATCTCATATAACAAAATCTTAACGATAAAATAAGCACTCACCAATACAATCATTATTATGACTGAGTTTAAAACCAGGATAACAATGACACATGAAAGATCCTACAGTATTGTAACATGTTCCATTGTTACAAATGTTAATGTGTCGTTGACACTCATCTATGTCTTCGCAAGACTCTCGATTTTCAGTGAGTGTAAAGCCGTTATGACAGATGCATTGAAAGCTTCCCTCAAAGTTTTTGCAATCGCCATTTCTGCAGATGCCGGGTTTTTCATTACATTCATCAATATCTGCCAATAAATAAATTAAAATGGAATTAGGGAAAATTAACATTTGATATTTCAGAAGTTAAGGGTGGAAATGAACACAATAATAATAGATAACGACTTAAGTTCCCAGTGCAGCAACTACTGTAACCTCAAAGTAACAAGCATAATGTTACAATTGGCACTTCACCACCGACATCTCTCTGCTCTATTTCCATCTTCTATGTCCACCAAGCTATATGCCAGTCATGACATAGAGCGAATATTCTTTTGCTCAGGTCTTTTGTTACTTCATCAAATTTTCACATTGGTTTTAACTGGCCACAAACATTAACTTTTTAAAATGTTGAAATACTTTACAGATTTACTGAGAGCTCAACACTGAGTTTTAGTGTTTTCATGAAACGACATTTATCACTGAAAAAAAAAATACAAAAAAAGAGTAGATGAACGATTGAGTGAGTGCATTTTTTAGGGTCCAAAAAAATTGATCTTCACAAAACTAAACTCAATCAGATGTGAGATAAAATTAACGAACCTTTAAAATAAAATAGAACAAGATTAAAAATCGTGACAATAATATCTCACCAGTGCATTCTCTCAGTGTTACTCCTAGCGTGTATCCTTCTGAGCAAGTGCACTCGTAACTTCCAGGCGAGTTGACACATTGAGAGTTACCTTTGCAAGGAGATGGACTATGGAGACACTCATTTTCATCTGGGACGTGAAACAAAAAAAAAATTGAAAATTTCATTCAGAAGATTGGGAACAACCATAGTTAAGAAGCAAAATTTGATTCCACATGACGATAAACTTTGAAAGAAAGTCAGCATAAAATTCATAACTCCGTTTGGACAAGGTATTATTTTTGGCAAAACGGAAAGCTCTCTAAAATTTAAAGAACATGAAAATATCAGTAATTAAGAATGATTACAATAAACAATCTTGAGAATGTAATTTAATTAATATTTCAATTTTAAAGTAAATCATTTATTGTTATGACAATATCAAGCCATACCTCCATCTAAAGACTTGGATAGAACCCCCCTCCTGGGCACTACCCGTCCTTAATTCTATTCAGAGAATTTTTCCTTTTAGAGAATAAACGTAATAATAATCAAAAAGCGTGGTGTGAAATTACTACTTGGACTGATGTTGATTTGTTTCAAGAAAATAAGAGCTTCAAGCTGTCAGTAAAATTAACGAAGAAAAGTTGAATTACATTTTATCAAACAAGCACTTACCAATACATTGATGTGAGTCGTCATCATATACAAAACCACGATTACATTGGCAATAAAAACTTCCAGGAGTATTAATGCAAATTCCATTATTACACATCTGAGGCATTAATGAACACTCATCAATTTCCTCTGTAATATTTGTCATTGGGTTGACGATTTGGCCAGGACGTGCCCCACAAAGTAACAAATATTCTCCTGGACAAAAAATTCAAATTATTTCTCTTGTCTTTATTCCTATACAATACATTTATTTTGGAAAGCGAATGCATATAAAAATTCACGTATGAAGTTATTCATTAAATGCATCACTATGACTTACCAACTTAAAAAAAACAAAGCGTGGATGATTATGAAAAAATCAAAATTGCTTTTATTTGAATAAAAGGAAACCTGGTAAAGAGTTTCTCTAATGTAATGCATAGAACTTCTAGGAATCGATTATTTGAAATGCTTGGTTACCTTAAATTCTACTACATTACTCTTCCAGAACTTTAAGCTTTCATCAATTGACTATTTGAAAGAAAACGGAAAACATGAGGTAAATTATTAAAAAGTCTAAGTATTCTCTTATTAGAGGCACTACTTGTAAAAAAAAAAAATCTTCAGGACTTGAGAAAACAACATAAAGACATGTTCAATAGACTTACTTGAGTTTGCCGCAGGACAAGGTAGACATGGTTTCCCCCAGGCAAGCCCCATTGAACAACAACAGAGCATTCGAGTTTGCGGATTGGACATTGGCAGTGAACACTGTTCGTCGGAATAATTCAAATAACACTGATCTTTCCGCATATCCACACACTCCTCTGCAAGAAAAGGGGGAGAACATATTACACAAGAGGAAACTCTCTAGCAGAAATAATTATGAATGAAATCCATTATTCTTGGGGAAAATTGATAGTAATGTAAATAAAATACAATATAAAATCTGTCTTTATTTACTACATACCCCAGTCACACACTGGGTCAACTCTGACACCCAATCTACCTTATGATTTGAAGTGGGTTAGAGTTTCTTAATTTATCTTTGGTCTGTTTCGGGAGTAAAAGAATAAGATGAACTTACATAAAAGCTGCTTTTATTGGCAGAATAAGAAATAAGAAAAAATAGAGGTGTAGTAGAGAGAGTTCTAGTACATTTTTAATTATTGTTTTTTTTTCAAAAGCAGTAACGACTACACAGAAGAGTACATGAGGGAGGAAAAAACTTACTCCCATTTGGTAGGAGCACAAATCCATCTGGACAAGCGCAATGGTATGATCCTTCTTCATTAAAGCAATCACCTGCTCCGCAAATGTCTGGGATTGTTGAACATTCATCGATATCTGTATAAATCAAGAATAGTTAGTTATTTATACTTACAGAAAAAAAAGAGGTAAAATGGCGTCTAAGATTATTGGAACTTTGTTGTTTGATTATTGGAATTCATTGGACTTGAAAAACTGGATTTTACCAGGATCAGACATTCTAGTGCAACTTACTTAAAGTAGCTTTTTATACACATTTATTCCCTTGCTATCACAACGGGAAAATATTGGTCAGCATCTGGAGAATTGTTCCTGAGAATAGTTAAGTATGTATTTGCAGTCTGAAAATGTTGAATAGTCTGTTGAGGTTTTGCTTTTGATGTCTTCATTAATCTCTTTCTGTCTTTATTGTGTAAAGGTGTTAAAATGGAAAATAATTCAATTTTAAAAAAAAAAAAATATCCTGCCTATTACCTGTGCAGACTGTGTTCCCTTCGTCCAGTTTAAAACCATCTTTACAAGAACACATGTAACTGCCGAAAGTATTCGTGCAATGTCCATTTTCGCATAAATTATGGTGCTCTTCACATTCATTGATGTCTTCCAGAATGACCTTGAAAATAGGGAAACAAAGTGAAAACCAGAAAAAAAAGCTGTAAAGTTGTATACATATGTAGGTAGAAAACGGAGAAACGGGTAAGCGTAGATCCTATACTTAAGCATATGGAGTCCATTCATTTGAAAAACAGGACCTGGCAATTTCCACAATTTTTTACTTTTAGAGCTTTCTACTGTTTCTCTGTTGGGTACTAGTTCACAATGGGAGCAAAAATTCTTAAATCGTGAGTTAGGCATGCATAAACATGCTCATAGTCTTGTTGCTTTTGGTATCTAAAAACTGTGCTGGATATTTTTTTCCTTTCTTTTCCAAGAGGGCTTTATTTAAAATTTCAGCTAGTTTCTTTCCAAAAGATTATGAATGACCTCTTTGTTTGGAAATAAAATACACATTTTTGCATTTTATCAATTTCAGGCGACTTACTGAGTGGACATTTGGTTTGTAGCCTGAGCCGCCAGGGCAGAGTTTCGAATGTTCTTCAGAGCCTGGTGCAGGGCATAGTTCACATTTGCTACCCCAGGCCCGACCAATGGAACAGCAACAAGTTGATTTTGTGACAGGACTTCCGAGTTCTTGGGAACATATATTCTGTCCATCATGACCCTCATAATTTAAATAACAACGAGATTCTCGCTTATCTATAACAAACACAGATATTCTGCCATGATTAAAGCTGCCAATTTTTGGGTGAAACAAATTGAAATTATGTATTACTGACACAATTATACTTTTAGTACAGAAATTTGAGGACGCATATCCATCCTTGAGAAATTGATACTAATGATACATAGAATGTTGTGAAAAAATTGATTTAAAAATAGTACGCCTCTTTTGCGGTATTTTCGCAGTTCAATCCTTAATGTTTCATTATTCAAATCTAACTTACATCATTATGTACTAGTGGATAAATGCTCTTTAATTTAGAATTTATGAAGAGAAGCCTCATCAAGAATTTTTCGGATAAATATTTTTTTTTGGAAAAAATGACAATGTTACGTTACCAACACATGCATTTCCGGAGGAAACAAGCTGATAGTTTGGCGGACAGCTACACTTGAATGATCCAATTGTGTTGGTGCAAGTTCCATAAAGGCAAGCCTGAGGACTTTCACATTCGTTGATATCGGTACAGTTGCCTGAAAACAGCAAGACACAAAATGACATACAACTTATATTCTTCTTATTTTCCTTATTATTATTACAGCAAAACAGAACATCACACGTCTGATAATTTTATGAGAAACTTAGATTTGTGCAGGGAGGTAATTTGAGTAATAATTGAAAGAATTCTATAATGATAAATACTCACTTTCATTTTTCAAAGAAGATGCTTTGAGAAAGCTATCTCTTAATTAGTTGGTAGTAAGACTACCTAGGAGCGTTCAAAAAATACAAAACGCTAAAAATCTGATTCTTTGATTTCTCCACAGCCCTGTAAAGGACTAATAATACAGTTCTGCTTGCCCCTTAAAAAAATTATTTGACACTCTGTTTGACCCCCACTACTTCAGATTGCCATTTTGAGTCAATTTTCATTATGAATTTTTGAGCAATCAGCACTATATGCTGATAGCAGTGCCCAACACAACCCTAAATTCTTCTCTCCCTCTTGTAACACATTTAAAACTTGGGCTTGATTCCCTCATTCTCTTGTAGTGTATTATATAGAAATTTTAAGAGTGGCTCCTACTGAAATGAAGCCAATAGAAGACTTTGCGACAAAAACTGCACAAAGTGAATATAACGCAGGTTATCTTACCTCCAGAGCTGTCTAATTGGAATCCTTCATCACATTCACATCTGAACATACCAAAGACATTGATGCAGCGTCCATAAACACATAAATTATTGAACATTTCACATTCATTTATATCTAAAGAGAAAAATAAAAAGGAAGAAAATGCATTAAAATTCAGTCATTGATTAATTTCTCTACGAAACATTTTGTTGAATTAGACTTTTGAAAGTACTACGAATAACCGAATATGGTCTCTAATTTTTAGGGACATCAGCACATTTGGTGCTCTTACAGGTACTGAATCATGATGATAATATTTTATCCAAGGTGAAGTTTAAAATGGGAACTTAGGATATGGGAAGATTAAAAAAAATATATTGAGAGCATACATGTGCCGACTTTAAGAGAAAAAATTTTATGGGAGGAAATATGTTGAATAAACCTCTATTTTCTCTAAAATAAATTGTAAAAACACCAAAAGAGAAAAATTTATATTTTTATTGATTTCAAACTTTGAACTAATAAAGAGAATTTTACTACTCACCGACACACATGTGCTCATTTTTGTCATCTGGGTGCATAAATCCCATCTCACACTCGCAATTAAACGATCCAGGGTAGTTGAGACAATGACCATTTTCGCACAAACTTGCATTTTCCGTGCATTCGTCCAAATCAGAGCAAGAAGTACCATTTCCTTGAAAACCTTGATCACAGACACACTGAAAATTAAATGGGAGAATATTTATAAATGTTTACCGAGTGAGGAGTAACAAAAAACATGTACTTTCTTTTTAGAGAAAAGAGCAGTTTTCCTCTTATGATAAGTTTTTACTACAAAAAATAAAATAAAAAATAAATGAGTAAAAAATTACGGCATACTTTAGAATTCAAATTAGAACACATTTGCTAAATATTGGTAACATTGTCAGTTTAAAAGATTTCAAGCTATGATGTTTGTTTGGAATACATTGAAAAAATATAAAATATACCTTAAAAATAGGAGCAGAGATTTTTTAACACCGCAATTGGACTGAATTTTGCAATTTGGACTTATACATTCTGGCTCATCTGAAAAAACACATAGGTGCATAGGAAAACTAATGGCACATACGTTGCTTTTAAATTGGGCTAGAATTTATAGTTCCAAATTGCAAAATGTAGTCCAATTGATATACGTATTTTTGCAGTTTTACCGCTGACGGTTTCTCTAAAAAATATCATGCAGGCAAACACACTAGAACTTACTTCCAAGCGTGATTTATTATTAGTGCATATCACTATCAAGATACTGAGAAAATTTGTAGAGACAATGATTCTGAGAGGCTAGTATTTTGAAATTCTGATATTTCCAAAATGACCTCACAGGGGAATCATTAAGTGGTTTTCATTCTAGGTGCAGAGTGAGTTAAAATCATTCTTTCTATAAATTTTCAATGATACACGGCAGGGAATTCACTCTGAGGAAGAAAAAACTTACTTGAAAGGAACCATCAGTATTGATACATTGGGCATTTTGATCGCAGCCACCATTATTTGACAAACATTCATTGACATCTTGGCACAAATAGCCATTTCCTGTGAAGCCGTCATGGCATCGACAACTGTATGAACCCTGTAAAAAAAAACATTAGAGGTCTAGTCTCTAAAAGAGCTTTTGAAAAATAAAAATAGTCGCTGCATGCTACAGTGACCGCATGGTAGTTTTGTGTAACTGTTACTTATTTATACGAGAGTAGATTAATGTTTTCTCTCGAAACAGAAAGATAAGACATGCAAAAAGATAATTTTTTTAGCGGCACAAGTCTTTTCCAATCACACTGCTACAGTTGAAGGATGAAACTTTCTGGAGTTCTTTTGTAATTATCTTGAATGGAATTTTATTGGATACATATCTAGAATCTTGAGCATTAGATGCTCCATTTTAGAATGATTTTAGCAATTTTAATCAGAAGACAATGAGCACAATTGGCTGATCATACCAACAAAGCCCAAGGTGATATCATGACTCTACATCACAGAAGGTATTCTCACCACAGAAGATAAAAGATAATTACAAGCCTGAATTCCCTGGTGAATAATAACTTTGTGCTTGTAATGAGGTTTTCCCCTCTGTAATGAGAATGAGGACCCTGCGTAATGCAGTAATGACATTAAGTATAGCTTTTAAGTATCGTTAGTTACCAGTGCCATAAAAATACTTACTGGATTATTCACACAGTCGGCGTTTATATCACAGTTATGGATTCCCAGCTTACATTCATCCTCATCGGTACAAGTTGGGCTCCCGATAGGTTTCACAGAATATCCTAGGGCCAGAATTCTGACAATTATAATCAAATAAAGAAATATGTGTAAGCTTTCAAAATATTAGATGAATTGCATCAATTGCAATCAGTTGCATGTGTCAAAAAATTGTGTTTTGATGGATGCATCTCGTGAATTTACAGAAAGTATTGAGAACAGTTTGAACCGAAAATTCCTGGATTAGTACAAACAGAGATGTGGCACTATGAGAGACAGGATGCAGAAATCATTCTTTTTTCAAAATTAAACTCACAACAGTTTCCCATTAGAAACCATGATTAGCACCATGAATCATGTTCAGCAGTTATGCCACTGCAAAGCAGTTACGTATTGTGATTTTTAAAAGGCTACATTCCTATTAATTGACTGTAAAAAGACTTGCTGCTTGGTAGGTCTCATATTTTTAATTTTGAGTTCCACCATTGACCCAGAATTTTGTGACGGTCCCAATATGCCCACCATAGAAAGATAGCACCTAAATGCAACTAAATGGACAGTCAAATTTACTTACATGATAAAATACATTTTTTAGACTAACGTATACTTACTGGCATCATTGCGAAACCTTGTATAATATGTTTTGTTGCAAGAAATCGACCCATACGAAAAATATTTCCTCCATTCAATGCATTCAAAATTTTTAAAACATTGGAATCTTGGAAAAACTTTAAAAAATTGCCAGTTAAGGTTTGTGAACTAGTACTGTAAATAGCAAATGTAGGTGAATTCTATCTTTGCAAAATTTGACTCTATGATGTTACTGAAGTTGTAAAATATATTCAATGGAGAAACTTTTGCACAAGCTGATGACAGAGAAAAAGATAAAAATTGCAATCTAAAATAGCAGAGCTCACCTGTTTCACACTGACACTTATAGGATCCAATGGTATTGAGGCATTCTCCGTTATTGCATACATTCCTCTCTTTGTCTTCACATTCGTTGATATCTGTGGAATAAATTTGTGTAAGAGTTACCAGATTAAACCATTTGAACGTTGATTAAAATTTTATAACTGTAAATGGCTTACACATAGACATGACTTGCAATAGATTGTACATAGAAAAACTCCCGTTTCATTTTGATAAAAGAAAATTGAAGAGCATTTTTTCATAAAATTTTCTGGAAAATTTTCAAATGTATTCACAGAAAATTTTAAAAAACATTTAATTTTTTTTTTTACAAAATAATATAAAGTCGGAATTTTTGAAACGTTTGCAATAAAGATAGTTTAGCTAAGAATATTGAGGTCCACATAAAATTTTTTTCATGATTACTTCATTTATGAGGTCTGTGTACCATTTATTGTTGGGCACTTTGCTATATCGACGGTGAAACTACCAAACCACGTATCTCGGTTTGCGACGTCGCAGACTTCCTGTCATACTTTATTTTTTAAAGGAAAAACTGCTTAACGTCCAGTCTTGAAAATTTCTGTGATTTTTCCTCTTCGTGCGGAGAAAATTCTGTGAAAATTTCAAGGAATGATATTGATTTGGTCTACTTCAAAAAAATAAAATGCGAGCGTAGATTTTTAAACACCGCAAACGAGATACGTGGTTTGGTAGTTTCACCGTCGATATATGTCTAGACGAGGCAGCCTGAGAAAAAGTTTTGGGACTGGACAAAAAGGGTGTTAAATAAAATTAAACTTGTCTGGCCAGTTTAGGATTGCACGATTTATCAGGAAATGCGGATGGATCGAAAATTGTCTGCACACATCAAATTTGCCTGGAAACATTATCATTTGTCTAAATTAAAGGATTTGTCTGCAACTTGTACACCTTTCTTTATTAAACAGATTGAGCACTTACCGATACACTGGGAGCTATTGATCCCTGGTTTCAGGCCATTGGTGCATACGCAGGTGAAACTTCCTTGAGTGTTAATACATTCACCACCGCTACAAATTCTGCGATTTTCAGAACACTCATTGATGTCAATACAACTATGACCATTTGGTTGTAGAGCATAGCCCGTCCTATAAAATAAAATTATAAAATCATACTAAATAGTGCTAAACTAGCTGATCACTCAGTTACTGAAAATAATGGAACTTGTTTCTAGTTGGAATCCAGGCATACATTGTAGTTTCTATTCCTATTAGTTCTATATATTCTATTCCATCTAGTTTATTAGTAGGACAACAACTTTTTGTTCCAATTTATAGACTTGTGTGGAAATTCAAAGACTTAAAGTTTGTTGGCATGGAAGAATTTCAATGCATGCAAAAAATTATCACCTGAGATAAAGGCATGGCATGCACTATTTTAATTTTAAACATAGAAAAAAACAATATTGATAAAAAAAAATTTATCTGGAATTGCGATAGAAGGGCAAAAATATTCCCCAACCTTTAATTTGACATTAAAGCAATCGGTAGTTGGAGACTTCCACTTAAATTTTATTTCTTTGTTTACTCCTGAAAAGCATGTATATTTCTATTTTAATTTTTTCCTGTCAGATGCATTCTTTATTTTACTCCACAGTTTAGGACCGCGCCCATTACAATCTTTACTTACTTGGTAATCATAATTTGCGGTGATAAAATAAAATAAATCTTCATTTCAGTTTTTACTTAGGCACCTTTCGAGGTCAAGAATAGAAGTTCAAAATTTTAGTACAGTAAAATAAAAAGGTACTGATCTGAGTTTCTAAAAGTACTACTGCCATTTTTTTAAGGATGAAAACCAATTTTCTTTCCATAAGTTTTAATGTGTTCTGAGATCAGGCAATGCTTTCAGCTAAATTTTGTTTTATCAATCTCTTTTAAACAGCAGAAGGATTAAATGACTAACCTACATGAACACACAAAGCTTCCTGCAGTGTTATGGCAAATGTCATCACAGCCTCCGTTGTTTGTTTCACATTCATTTACATCTAGAAATGAAAAAAAATTGTCGCTAAAATATGTTTTGCGAACTTAAGTAGAGAGTAAACATGAAAATCACCTGAGTGCTCATGAAATCTTCAGCAAATTAAAAGTAATTGACTTTTACGGAATTAATATTTTTCGTGAAAAGAAATTGACTCGTAGTTTGTAAAATTTGGATAGGATGTGTGAAAGAAAAGAACTTAAACCCTATCATGATAAAAATATTAAAAATGATCTCAACATCAATTTTTTTTTAATGCTATGGAGGTATAAAACTTTATACAATTAACGAAAAATAGGAGTCATAAGGAAACCATGGCTGTTTTTGGGTACACTTTCTCAGGGGCTTGATTGATGCAAGTTGAACATCGATGGTAAAACTGCAGACATGCATATCGACGATGTAATTCGGCAATCACATGACTCGGTTTGCAACATTGCAGACTTCTTGTCACACTTTATTTTTTAAACGGAAAACTACTCAACGGTAATTCTTTAAAACCACCGTGATTTTTCTCTTCTGTGCGAAGAAAATTCTGCAAAAACTTCAAGGAATGATGTCAATTTGTTCGCCTTTAAAAAAATAACACAGAGGCGGAGATTTTCAGACACCGCAAACGAGATATGTGATTGCGGACTGATGCCGTCGATATTTCGGTTTGCGGTGTTACAGGCTTCCTGTCATTTTCTACATAGAAAGCTACTGGACGTTTTTTTGTTAAATCTTTGGTGAATTTTTTTCTCAATGTTAAAAATATTTATTAAACATTTTGGGGTACGTAGTTTGATCCCTTTTTAAAAATAAAAAAGTTGCAGAGATTTTGAAACACAGCAACCAAGATTCATATTTTTGCAGATTCACTGACAAAATAGCATTGATTGGCAGAGAATTGACTACAAATAGGTAGAGTATGATTAATTTTGGCAGCAGTGCTGATTGCACTGGTGAGTGGCCCATAAATTCATTCACTAGTGCCTCATTAAGGTGGTGTCCCATATTGATACAAGATTAACAGATTCTTTTCTTAAGACACCTCAAATTACATTGACCATTATTTTGGGCAGATTAGAAATCACATTAGAGCTGGAAGGGGGGGGGGGCCTCCAAGGCCTCTCCTAATGTAGGTACTCTTCGGTGCATCTTTTCTGTAAGTCTCAGAACTTCAGAAAAATAGGTTGGGAAGCTAAAAAAAGGGTCTTTACCTTCACAATGAGATTTCATGTCAGCTTGTTGGAAACCATCATTGCAAATGCACTGGTAAGTTCCCATCATGTTTTCGCAAACGCCATTAGAACAGATTCCACTTGAACGTGAACATTCATCAATATCTGAAAAAGTAACTTATTTTATTAGCAATTTTCGGATTTCTACCTCTCTAAACAAATGTAATTCTTAGTTACTACATGTTCAGCAGAGAAAAACGAATTTTAATGCCCAGAAAAAAAAAAAAAACATGGAATTAATTTGAAAAAATAAGAAATTTTAGATTCATACATTTTAAGTATTTGATGAGAAGGAGACAGGGCAAAAACTGTATGTAATTTATTGGAAAAAGTCAGTTGGAAAAATAATAACAAGAAAACTTTATTACGCTACCTTTGCACGACAGTTTATCGGGAGATAGTTCATGTCCTGGAGGACACTGGCAATAAAAACTTCCAGGAGTGTTCCGACACGTGCCACCACGGCAGAGACCAGGAGTTCTTTCACATTCATTTATATCTATGTAAAAAAAAATACATATAAATATAAAATCCAGAGGCACATTTTGAAACTGAGGTATACCACTTTCTGAAAACGTATTGCAGAGTTTTACATCATCGAATAGCTGATTAATTTCAAACATTTTTTTCAATTTAAGGTACAATATACACTCATACAGAAGAGTCTTGATAATCAGAACTGCTAACATCTATATAATCAATTATCCTGACTGACTTGGCGAGTAAACCTGGTCAAAAACAAGAGAGATTTTGTCACCTGGTAGCCAGGAATGGTACATGGGTCAAGTAATGGATTGAGATCCGCTCTGTGCACCAGTCAAATAATCCAACTTTATCAAGCCTTCTAAATTTTGAGAGAAATTGCATCCTCTACATGTACACAATTCCTGTTGATTTAGGGTGTTGACTGTAAATTTTTTGAGTACTTATCCAGATTTTGGCTCATTCAGATTGGGTCTGTTCCCAAACAATCCGGATATTCAAGAATCTACTGTATACGCAATTTAGTACAATATTTCATTAAAATGATAGAACATTCACTCTAGAAACTGATAGCTCAGTAGCTCACCAAATTAAAAGGAAAAAAAACAAGTGTATTTTTGTTTTTTAGGTATGGAAATTCATCTGATATGTCTGGCAATTTTAGACATGCTTAAAATTTTAATGCAGTAATTTTCAAACAGTGTATGATAAAAAATTATTTTACGCAGTTTTGATTTTTAATTTTACTTACCAGTGCAAACTTGTACGAGTGTTGAACTTTCATATCCCTCTTTGCATTCGCATTCAAAATTTCCTGGTGTATTGATGCATTTACCATCTCCACAGACCCCATGCATTATATTGCACTCATCAATGTCTGGTGGAACGGAAGTAAACAATCAATTAGTTAAGTCTGTTATCAACGGAATATTTGAACAAAGAGAGTTTGTAATGAATTTTAAAATATTAAAACATTTTTTGAGGTTCAACTAACAACTTTTCTTAAGACTTCCCGTTGTTGAGGAAAAGTAATGCGGCTACCCTATAACTCGCTCAGTTAGGATCGTTCATTTTTATTAACACATATGAAAAAGTTACGCCAATCAAAAGAGCTTTGGGTTTGTGATGCAAGCTGTTCTGTATACAAAAGAACATGAATCAAATTTTTACATACCTAGACACTTGATCCCATTTTCATCGAGTGTGAATCCTTGATTACAGCGGCATGTGAAACCACCGACAGTATTTTTACAGCGGCCGTTTGCACAAATTCCAGGAAATTCCACACATTCATTGATGTCTTTCCTGTCCAGGAAACCAGGACCCTAAGAGAGGGAAATGTTGAAGTGTATGAGTATGACATCATAATGCAAGTTAATGGCTTACAATGAACTGCATTGAAATAAAAATTAATTTTCGAACAATTAGGGAGATCTTCTTGAGCAATACATCAACAAACAGAGAAGATCCTCTCCCTCTATTTCTGAGTAGGAGGCTGGTGAAGTTGACTAATGATGGTCTACAAAACTAAAAGGGTAGCAAGAACTCATTGATGCACCTGAGATTATTGATGAGGTAACTAAGAGGAGTATGGTGACACATTTTTAATGCAATTACAGGAGAGAACAATTAGTGTTAGGTATCTATTACAAGTGCTATTTACTTCGAAAAAAATGGTTTTCCTGAAAATTGTGGAGATAAAAAATACTTTGGTCCTCCAATTGAAGATTCTTAAATTCCCAACGTTCCGAGGAATTTTAAAAGGAAAAAAATAATAATAATTCATGTTGAATGAAGGTATGCAGAAAAATTCTAAAAGTTGACTGAAGATATAAAGATTGGACTTGAACACACAAAAAATATTTAATGACTCTCAGTTCTATTTTTGTCAACTGATAATAATACCCTATCTGAGAGAATACTGAGACGATCAGCAGAGAGCCCCTTCTTAGTTTTATGAATTTAGAGGGGATTATTGAAGAAATACTTTTCAATGGAATGCACCCGCAAAAATGGCAACATCTCTCGATATGACAATAAAGTCTGAAAACTGAAGATAGTTTTACCTTGGGGCAAAGATCAAGGTGTGCTGCTGTTCCAGGCCGAGGACAAGCTTCACATTGAGCGGAGAATTCTCTTGCGGTTCCTCCCCACGCTCGTCCAACTGATGAGCAGCAGCAAAGGCTACGAGAAAACAAGCCATCAATAGCATTGTGTCCAACTCCTTGTTTGAACTCAACAAAACAAGTTTCTATTCTTTTATCCAAGCACAATGTTCCTGATGACAACAAAACATTGCTCTGTGAAAAAAAACACCTTCGCTTCAAAGATCGAGGAGGAGACAAACAAAAAGAAGATTGAATTTTCGACAAGAAAATATTTTCTAATTCTAAGCTCTTCCAAATTTCTTCCAAATTTTTCGAGTGCAGTTTTGTTGTTAGGCAAAATGTTTCTACTGATCTGAGTGTTTCCTTAGAAACATTACTTGGCATGCCTATTATCGTTAACTTCTATAAAGAACATTGCAAAAAAGCAGTATTGATCAGCGGAGTAAATTTATGCGCATCAACTTATTTTAGGTACTTTTATAAAACCTCTATTTGAAGCATCTGATGGGTTTGCTGTGAAAAGTTGCCTCATGAGATCAAGCCTGTATTTTATTACATAATTTACTTCTAGCTAATTAACAAAATTAATAATTTTTTTTAAGAAGAGCAAATTTACCGGTAGGATCCAAAGTCAATCCAGGAGGACACACACATGTAAATGATCCTTCAGTATTGAGGCAAGTGCCACCTCCACGACAAACGCCTGCACTCAGTTCACACTCATTCACATCCGTGCAACTTTTGCCATCTACCTGAACAGAGGAGCACACGTTTTTATTAAAAAATATAACAACCTATTCAGGTCCCCAGATTCATTGAGGAGTCATCCAAATAAATTGTGATATTCATCTTATAAAAAAGTTAGCAGATGACAGTCTGACTTTTGAGAGAAGCAATTTTTACTAGTAGAAATAATGAGGTCCAGTTAGGTAAGGTAAGGTAAGGGTTGGTTATTTTTCAATTTAACTTACTTTGGCAAATCCTTTTGGACAGTCACAGGTGCTGGTGTCGCATGTTTCACAAGGGCTTCCCCAAGCTACACCAATGGAGCAACAACATTCTGATTTGAGTGTTAGTCTTGGTAAATTATTTTCACAACGGCCATTTGTTACCCGTGCCCAACATGTGCCACGTTGATTATCTGAAAAGGTGATGAGCATATAGAGTTAAAAAATCTTTCTGCGACACTTTCTGCAACAAAATAAAGTAAAAACCAAGATTTGCTGACAAAGATTGTGCTTGTTGCAGCGCGTATTGGTTTACAATTAACAAAATACAATGAAAACAAAATAATTACCAATGCAAATATGGCCAGTGTTGTCGACAACTGTTCCCGGAAGACATTCACATTCGTAAGATCCGACCGTATTTACACATTCTCCATTGATGCAGGCCTCTGGCCCCAACTCTTCACATTCATCGATGTCCTCACAGACTTGAGTGACACTGTTCAGCCGCGTTCCACTTGGACAAACACACTGCAAAACCATACAAAAAAAATCATTGAGAGGAAAAATAAAGGGACAAAATAACCACCAATAGTATAAAAATCAATTCACTTTGTGAGCAATAAGGCACATGTTTCTTGTTAACGCAAACACAATAATATATAATTACTAAAAAACAACACTGTTGGTCTGCACTTCTGAAAATCTCATGGTAGAGAGGCACAAGTTTTGTTTTGACATACTGAACAAGGAGTAAATAATGAGCAAATATTCCAATCACTATTGAAATGCTTTCTGGTGAAAATCTAAATTAGGAAAGAAGAGTGAATTGTGTGTTTCATGCCACAAAACGCCTTACTGTAGCTACATCAAGTTTCCTGATGAAAGCTATCTGAGAGAAATAAAATGATGGATACTTGGAAGGAAATTATGGCTATAGGTAGGTAACGATTGTTAGATACTTGCTGCATTGAGATATATTTTTTATTCTAGAAAAATCTGATGGGAATCAATTTTGAATGTATTTTCCAGGGATCATAGGATGATTACCTGAAAACTGCCAGGCGTGTTCCGACATTGTCCACCAGTGCAAACAAGTTCATGAGCACACTCGTCAATATCTCGGCAGGACCGTCCAGTGTCATCGATCTCATAACCAGCATTACAGATGCAGCGATAGGTACCCATAAGATTTTCACAAGCTCCATTTTGACAAATTGTTGGGTTCTGAGCACATTCATTGATGTCTGCAACCAATTATGAATTCATTACTATCAAAATTTAGTGATGCAAGGGCTCAATTAAGAATAAACGGGATAGAAAACCTAGCCAAACAGACAAGCAGAAAAAAGATGAAGACCATTCCTCTAGATTGAGAGTTCTACTTGCTATATTGAAGAAATAATAAAACTTGCGCATGCACATCGGAACAATTCCTGCAAGAGAAATTCTATGGGTGAAGTGACCTTCCTCCATTAATCCACAGTTGTTTGGTTAGTGTTACTTGGCTTCTATTCAGGGGCCTTTTTACTATGAATTTCACTTCACTTCTGATTAGCAAGCTTTATACTGTGGTGATATCTTGAGGTCTCTTGCAGTAAAATTTTGCTAAGCTATTTTGCCATTTTGATTTTTGGAATGTGTATATTCTTAGGGAAGTTTAAGGATCAAGATCAATGTAATAGGTGAATTTCGGTAGATTTTCAATGGATTAATGAACTTTACGGAAGTTCAAAAATTTTTAATTAGGTAGTAATTCAATACCATTAAGGACAACTTTTTTTACTCGTCCAAGCTTTTCTTGTTAAAATGAGAACTTGACAAATCAATGGGATGCAACGTAAGAAAAAAAAAATTTACCATCTCCATTATACGTCATTCCAGATCCATGAGGACACAGCATCTGAAATTCTGGAGAGTTGGGGTTAGGACAGGGCATGCACAGAGTGCCCCAAGCACTGATTTGTCCAGGCGTGCCTAAAGAGCAGCAGCAGCTGGATTTGGTGGTAGCAGAAGGAAATGCATTCGTGCACTGCCCGCCTTGGTATTTTGCATAACACAAATCTTTCATCGTATCTGAAAAAATTAAAAAGGTTTCAAATTTAATTAATTTGAACTTCTCAAAATGTATTATCAAGTGCAAAATTTTTATATGATACATGATACTTCTTATATTCAAACTGAGTAATCATAAAAAGTCAAGTTTCTTTGATTTTTGGTCAGGGATGATTTGAAACAGAATTTACCTTAAATATCTGAACAGCGTTCAGTAGAAATAAACAATGTCCATTGCTGTGCTTTCAAAATTGTGTTACTTCTTCTATACTGTGGATAAAACTGAATACACGTAGAAAACTTAAAATAGCAGGGTTTATTTAACTTTAAACTGACAATTTTTGGTTAGAAAAATAAAAATTGTTTAAACTTCGGTGAATCCTTCAGGAGAGGGAACAGTTGTGCGATTTGGAGAACACTGTAATGGACTTGGTCCCTGTCTGATAAATGCTGTCCATTTGTTACATTATTTAGACTCGTATAGGTATGTGATTCAGACTTCTGCTAACATTCATGGACTCCTGGTTTTGATAGCAGTTTTTCATTCTTACACCCTATCGGAGAAGAATGGTAATTGATCGTTACCTTGACAAGATCTTCCGTCAGGCCCAAGATGAAAACCAGCTCTGCATTCACACTGGAATGAGCCAGGAGTGTTGATACATTTTCCGGCTTGACACGGGTTATTGACACATTCATCAATATCTGAAATTCAAAGAGGTGATGAACAGTGAGAAACTTTTTCTACATCAAAAAGTTTTCATTGTGTCAATTTATGAAGCTGGAAGAGACTACATTAATATTTTCAGACATTTTGATAGAAAACAGAAAACTACAATTTTAATACCAAAACTTAAAAAATAGGTTTACTTGCCTTCCTAGGATATTAATTTCCTGTCATTATTACTTTCTATCAGTTACAATGAATGCTTTGGAGAAACTCTTTCTTTCAACAAGATGTGTTCGTCAAAAATGGAAAAAAAAACAGAGTTTTCAAGGCATCATATGTTTTTCTCATTCCACCGACAGCAATAATAATTACAGTTTCACAAGATACAGAAAAAAATAATGTTCCATTATATGTTGGAGGAAACAAACCTTACTGGTACAAACAAATTATTTTTCATTTTATTTACAACAATTATTTTTCCCTGTTTGCGAGAATTTATTTTAAATACTTGTTTAGAACGTACCTATGAATCATCAATTATACCAATAGTCAAATTTTTACTATAAATAAGAACTTTGAAAGAAACAAAATAAGAGTGCGGTGATATTGAAATTTTTACAATAAATATAAACTTTGAAAAAAGCAAAATGAACATGTATGAGAATAAAAAAAACCTACCTATGCATATTTTTCTATCGTAGTCCAATCGATAACCAGAATCGCAGACACACTTAAAAGATCCATCAGTATTGACGCATTTTCCATTATGGCAGATATTGTTTCCAGCTGTGCATTCATTGATATCCACACAAAAAGCACCATCAAGCGCTGTTGTAAATCCAGGTTGACAGTGACAACGGTATGAGCCAGGAGTGTTGTAACAATGTCCATTTAAACATATTCGTGGGTTCTCGTAGCATTCATCAACGTCTGAAAGATGAAAATTTTTTTATCTTGAACAACTCGTGAAAGAACTGAAATTTTCGATTCTAGAGTACTAACACTCTGTGATTAGAGTGAAGATTTGAAAGATACAAAACAATTTGAGAAGAATTTCATTTGGCCTTAGACGATGAATTACTTCATGTTATTTTTTCAAAAGTGTTTGAGTCCTTAATTCGAACCCATCTTTCAATAGGTCGTGTTTTATGAAATTTGTGAGTAATTAAAATTAGAAAAAATAATCAAGGAGTCACCTATGGGTAAGTTTGAACTTATCAAAACGTATCTGACATTTTTTAGTGACACCTGTGACCTATCCCCATAACTTCTAACAATTTTTTGTTTTGATAATGAGTATTCTGAGTTTTTTCAAACATTGATTCTTCATGTTTTGACTTCCTGATCAGACAGGCATCTGAAATTTAGCAATAAGAGGTAATTACAATTCTACATTTTGCATATCTTTATTTGTAGCTGCAATACAACTTGACCCTATTTTAACACATATGAATTTATAAAATCATGAAAAAATCAGCAAATTTTGCTTGGGATTAAACACCACCATTTTCTTCACAACTAAGGAGAAAAATTTCATCCTTGAGGATACACGAAAAAAAATCAGATGATGAGCTGATCATGATGTATAGATTGGGAATCCACACCCTGGCAAACTTTTGAATACATATTATTTTTACCTACATACACAAGAGCTTTGAAAATTGACTTACCGCTGCAAGCGTGTCCAGATGTGGACAAAACATATCCATTTTTACATTGACATTTGAATGATCCATCCATGTTGATGCATAAACCATTGGCGCACATTCCAGTTTCACGACATTCATCATGATCTAAAAGTCAATTTATAAAAAATTTACTACTTCTTTACAATGATTATTCAAAGGCTCCTAATTTGGTACACTCATAATCACTGAAACATTGTATTAGAAACAAAAGGTCATGAGGGGGCGTCGACCTTGGGTAAGATAAAAACTTATAATATTTTTAATTCTTTTGACACAATAGTATTTGACAGCATTCTATTCATACGATACATTTTAGCCTTCATGCTGCACTGAATTTTTTTTCTCGTAGTTGGACACAAGTATAGTTGATTTTTTAATTTTGAAATAGGTACATAAATGTGAAAAATAAAATAAAAATCATAGCATATCATGAGACAAAATGTTAATTTCATAAGCAAACCTCAGAGGACATTTAAAAAATTTTTTTTCATTACCTATGCAAGTTTTTCCATCTGATGAAACATCAAATCCAGGGGGACAAGAACACGTAAAACTCCCAGGTAAATTTTCACAATGTCCTCCAACGCAGAAGTTTTGTTTGCATTCATCAACATCTATGAACAGAAGAAAAAACATGAAAATCATCGGACAGTTTGTTAATGTTTTGGTTGGTTGGAAATTAGTGGTTAACTAGATGACATCAATGAGGTACCTACTCAAAAATTTTACAGATGTGTCGCATAAATGACTTTAAAATTGCTTCTTCAACACTTTTTGTTTCCGACACTTGCTTGCCTTCTCTTTATGACAAGAGTGCATTTTATCCCTGTAAAATTTTGTTCTTTTTTTCAGATACTTGCAATGAGGTGTTCATCCGGTTCAATTACTGGATCCAGTATTTGCCCTCCACTTTTAAGTTATATTTGGAAAAACAGAAGAAGAAGAAGAAAATAGTCGATTTGGACTGATTGTTCAAACTCAAGTAAATTCTAACAAGAGTCAAGAGGAATTACTAAACATTCTTTTCAATACCTATCTTCAGTTACTTAGTTTGTCATTTGATCACAATTGAAAATTCAATAATGACTTAAAAATTGTGAGCAACTTTCGCTCAGGAATACTGTTAGTATATGCACCTGTTCTTTATTGAGACAAAAAATATTTATTCTTATTTTATTCTTGAAATGGGTGAGCCACTAAATTTGAATTGTCAAAAAATTAAATGGCAAAGGAACTTTTTTGCTTACAAACATTGAAACAAAGAAACTAGCCTTCACACACTTGTGACAGCCCGGAGGATGATTTTGATTTTTGGTAACCAGGATAGCATTCACACTCATAACCATCGGAAGTATCGATGCATCGCCCACCCCCGCAAATGGTAGGTTGAAGCACGCATTCGTTGACCACAGTAATTGAACTTGATACGATTCCTTTGGTTCCACCCAGGCAGAGTTTAGTATGGTCACCTGTCAAAGAAAAAAGTAAAATGATTGATGAAATTGCTCGGAATATTTAAGACAAGATAAGAGGATGGTCTCAAAAGAGAAAACCAAAAATAAATTTAACTTAACCTATGAAAAAGAATGATTTCCTGGAGTATCCATTTTCATGAGACTGTGTATGAGGTGTACTCAGAGAGTTAAAATCACTTGCTGCTGTGACTGCTTGTCTATTTCCTTTTCCTTGTAAATTGATAATAATCTAGGGGTCAGCTCTATTGGATTGCATAACAGGGAAATACTGCTGTTGGTATCCCTATAGCTCTAAAGACCACTGACTTTCAAAGGAATATGAATGAATTGAATTCTTTGCAGTCAAGTTAAAAAAATGTGAAGAAAGCTCTTAGAATGGAAACAGAGGCTTTATTAAACTTGAGGATTAATCAATTTTAAGTTTTTTGATTTAAAAATGCAAAACTGAATAAAAAATCCATAGATTAGGTTCGTAAACTTTCATAGTTTACCCACCAAAACACTGTACTGTTATGTTTTCCAAAAGAAAGCAATGCTAGCTTGCTAAGGAAGAATGATGTATGAACATTTGAGAGTTGCCAAAGTTCCTCCGATAAAATGTTTATTTTTAAGGAAAATTAATCATATTTTTCCTTGAAATTTTCGAGTACTTTAGATTAAATTGCAAATAAAATTGTCTGATAATCGGAAGAAAAATATTCAGAATTTTCCTATTAAATTTGTTTCTCATCGAAGGAGATGTGGCAACGTCTAGAGGCTCATACAGCATTTTTCCGTAGCATGGCAGAGTAGATGTCAATTCTTGATCTTGATCTTGATTTGACAATTAAAATTGGTTGGAAAAGTCACCAAATGCTTACTCTCTCCAGGGTTGGGACATGGATCAAAATCATCTCCCCAGGCTCTGTCAGAACTTCCTCCGCAGCAGCAATCCTTGCGTGATAATTTTATTTTCATTTTATTTTCATAAACACCATTTTTCACTGAAGTGTAGCAATTTCCTTGTTTTGAATCTGGAAAAAAAAGAGAGGAAAAGTAAAGAATAAAAGAATTAGATTGAAAATTATTAAATGATAAAAACGAAAATGCATAGCCATCTGTTGTTTGTAGACATCATTTTTACTGCAAAACTACGACATGAAATGCACAGAATGGAAAAGTGTACTGAAAGAATGGACCACTAGACAGGGTACAAATTTAAGCAATCTGATACATGTTTCTTAACCAAAATATCACGTAAAATGCGATTAGCGCAACGAATATTACTGAAACTAACTCTTAACGAAGATATCAACGTTTTTATTTTACATTGGTTACGAGAAATTTGAACTGCCCGCTCACAAGAAACTCAAAGCTCCACGTGATTCAAATCGCGCAGTGCAACGGTTTCAGCAAGCTTCTCAATCGAGCAATGTTCATTTCCCACCATGTGTTGTTAAAACAATAAGCGATTTGCAACAGCTGAGCCAAAGTGTCAAGATTGAGGTTGCCAGATTTTTATATCGCAGAGACCGTCATGATAAACGTTTAGCGCGCGATGTGAATCACGTAGAGCAATGAGTTTTCATGAGCGGGTGGTTTGAATTCATGCATCAAGAATCATTAAATATCTTTGTAAGGAGTTGATTTCGGCAATTTTCGTTGTGCGCACCGTGTTCTACGGGAAGTTTTGGTTAAGAAGCATGTATCAGAATGCTGAAATTCGTACCTTGTCTAGTGGTCCATGGTGTTAAGAAAAACACGCTTCAGCAAAACAGACAAACATTTTTAAAGTGGGCTTTCTAAATTCAAGTTTGGCAGAGTGCACCATTGAAAGTTACTGGAGACTTCCGCAAGTGGAGAAGTCAATTTTTAAAACTGGCGGCCAGGGCAAAAATAATACCGTTTATTCAGGGTCCCTCCTTGGAAATGATTGAAATGTAACCGTAAAATTAAAAAATGCAAAAGAGTAATTAAAAGTATAATTTATTAGCACCCATGAGAGTGAATACGGAAGGGTTGTAGTTTCCTTTAATGGCTTTCAAGTTGACATACCTTGTTCCTTTCTCACCCGTTCTTTCTTGTTGTCAAGCTTAGCTACTGATTTCAGACTATTAAATCACCGAACTAAACTACTGTTTACTAAATTTTTTATCGCTCATTTGAATCCTTTTCATGAAGGTAAGTCATCATCAGATATGTTATGAATTTTCTTTGAACCGGTTTTCAGGTTTTTCACAGCTACACTGATAGTAGTCAACGGATGAAAATTGCAAATATTGTCCAAGGGCATTTTACTGAGTTTTGATACAAACCTAGACAGTGTTTCCGATCTGGGGTGGAGATGAAACCAGGATTACATTGGCAATAATATGAGTCGTCAGTATTTACGCAAGTTCCATCTTGGCAAATATTTTCGTATTCTTCGCATTCATTTAGATCATCGCAAGAATTAGTTTCAGGATTTCGAGTTTTCCCACTTGGGCATTCACACTTGAATGATCCGACAGTATTAACACACGTTCCTCCTTTACAGAGGCCAGGAACTGCTTCGCACTCATCAATTTCTAAAATATAAGAATCAAACGAATATTAATATAATTTTGTAAACCAGCACTATTCACCTCCACTTTGGAGAACCCTCAACGCCGTTTATTAAAGGATTTCTCCCATGCTATAAGTTGATCTTGAAATTGGCAAGGATAAAAAAAGGGGAGTGAAAAATAATAAAAATACCACTTGAATCATGAAGTTGAGTACAGGTCAAATTTACCCTTAAAGGACACAGGTAGCGGAAAAAGAAGACAGGAAAAAACCTTGGAAGTGTTGAATTATTTTGAAGTAATAAGTACAATGGAGGGGATGAATCTTCGCTTAGAGTAGAGCTTAATATCAGGCATGAGCCTCAACAATAGAATAAACTTTTTTTTCCTACACTTTAAATACTTCAGGTGATCCTTTGCTTTAGGTGATAATCCCATCCCTCTCTATCTCTACTCAACGACTAGCCCTAGGCAACTTTAGTTGAGACCATCAAACTCAAGTCACCTGATCGAGAATCGAACCTGGAACATCTTTATTGTAGAGCCAGCACCACAACCGCTACACCATAGGAGGCGAAACTGCTAGATTGAAGAAACTTCTTAATTTATGCGTTTAAAATCAACTGTAGCGTTGCATATCATGTAATATTTAATTAGAAGTTCAAATATTTTTTCTGTCTGCTGAAATCATAAACTTTTCCTTCAAAATCCAGATCTGCTCCTTTTAATATATAACATTCTGGTGGAAAAGGAGATAAAATACGAAGGGTGACAAAGAATATAACTGCACTTACCTACACATTGACCAGAATGGATGTTTTTAAGAAAACCCTCTTCACAATCCAAATGCTGTGGACATGCTTCACATGGATGACCCCAAGCTTTTCCAATGGTCGCACAACAGAGCTGTTTTGTGCAAATAACCCCTTCAAGCTGTCCTTGGCACATCGTGTTTTCAATTTGAGTGAAACAAGGTCCTGTTCGATAATCTGTAGAAGATTAAAGTAAATTACACTAAAATTTCAGATTAAACCTACCTATTAAAGTATGTAGTTGATAGGTGAAAGTTTTTAACTGCAAGATATTTTACAAACATCAACAGCAATGGGCCTGTTGCAAACTTTTGCTAGAGCAAAACTAAGAGTTGTTTTCTACAGATAATGCCTCAAAAATCACGATGAGCGCATCGGCAAAGTCTGAAATGCACTCATAACTTCACAATCTGCGTAAGAAATTTGCGATTTTTTGAGCTTCCCGCTTCGAAAACGATACTACTGTACAGGTGAACATTTTGTTAGAGGAGTCGTTCCATTGGCGGCAATACTCATCATGGCCGACGCCAGTCCGCCAAAACACGTGTGATGGAACGAGATAACACCTAAACAGGATTAAACCAGATAACAATCGGCGTGTTTACGTTCATATTTTCCTCGCCCGCCTTAATTGACCTTGAGTTCTCCTCGAATTACGCGAGGAACTGCGCAAGCGTCGGCCATGATGAATATTGCCGACGATGGAGCGACTCCTCTAACAAAATGTTCACCTGTGCAGTAGTATCGTTTTTGAAGCGGGAAGCTCAAAATAACGCAAATTTCTTACGCAGATTGTGAATTTATGAGTGCATTTCAGACTTTGCCGATGCGCTCATCGTGATTTTTGAGGCATTATCTATGGGAAACAACTCTTCATTCTGCTCTAGCAAAAGTTTGCAACAGGCCCATTGATTATTTCTCTATCTCTCTCAGAATATTTTGTGAGAACAATCATTGCGAGGATACATGGAAGAAAAATGAGATAGAGTAATACAAATTTATGAATATGTTACCTGCTTCACATGTCTTTCCAGCATATCCGTAGACACACGCACATCTATCCGGACCAATACATCTCCCATTATTTAAACACGGCTCTTTGCAAATTGCTGGAAAGAAAGATGATATTTTTGAAATTATGTACTATGAGATTAAAACAATCTACGTAGACTTCACATTAAAAGTCTTTGTACGCATTTCACGTTAATTATTGAAATAGTTTTGAAATGTAGTATGTTTAAGAATTGAATGTGACTGTCCCCAAGAAGAGGTAGTTTACTTAGTCCACAAAAATTCAAAAAGAGTACAGAGAAGTATTTCACGAACATTATGGGGCTGACAGCGTCCAAGAATCATAGAGAAAAAAAAGGAGTTGTTTGCATCCTGAGGATTGTTTACCCCGTTACGTAGGTCGGTATAGGTACTCTAGCAAAATCCGGAAGTCAAAGTATGGAAAAGAGACCATAACGTCCGATTTTTTTGCTTCAATCAACTCATGATATAATTTCAAACACTTCACATTGAATGACTTTTATCCACAAACTACACCATTTCCAAGGGAATCGATGATAAAAATCGTCCGTACCGACCTACGTCATCAAAAACATCCAAGATGCCTGAAATGCAAACACCGCCTCCTTTATTTCCTCAATGCCCAAGAATATCGAGTCAAATCAGAGTAATGATAGATTAATCCGGGGAGTTGTTCATTTTTTGTCTATCTTCATGTTTTCTTATTAAATTATTGTATTCTTTCTACTTACTTCGTTGAGTTATCACCTGCACTTTTGGATAATGAAATAATATATAATTCAGCATAGTATTAGATTTCCTTGAACATAAATTTTGAAACTGGAAGTAATTTTAATGAGACAAATTTTTCACACAAAACTTTAAGACAATTGTAAAGTGTCTACCATCCAAAACTCTAGTTACCTATACACAAACAATTTTACTGGATTACGTGCACTTTGTAAAGAGTCGATAAGAAACTTACGCTCCGAACAGATTTCTCCTGAGTAGCCAGGTTTGCACACACACTTGGTGCCGGCACAGGTTCCGCCATTCAAACAAGGGTATGGGCAACTGTTCTTTCCATTTTTTGTGTGCGAGTCAAGAAATCCGACTTTTGTTTCATTACCTTAAAGAGAATGCAAGGTTAAATAAGTTAAAGCAGAATGTGAAGTCACCTTCCGTCAATCGTAATGAGCACTAATTTAAAAAAGTTACCTTAAAATTTAAAAATTCTCTTCAACCCTCATCTTGCAAACAATTTTTTGAATGGAGACCAACTGACCCTATTCAATGATGTTTTTTTTGCACTTTCTTTTAATAGAACAATAATTAGCATACATTTTTGTCGATGTTATTATATTCTCGGTCAGGTTTTTTCACTTTATTCATGAATAGAATTATTAGGTAGGATAATGATTGATGTCTCTCTGTCAGCCATCATCATCGACATGATTTAGATTGAAAAACGACCGGTAAAGTCTTTTCCGGTACATTACAAGTGCATTCAGTGAGTAAGAAGCTTACCAGCATGTAGGCTATTAAAATCAGCAGAGCAACTGATTCCAATATTTCCATTCTGACACATACAAATATTTGGCTTGACACACGTCCCATTGCCACATTGCCTTGAACACAACGCTGGAAACAGAAAGAAGAAGGAAACTTAAAGATAAGAGAAAACAATCATTATTTTAAAGTTGCATTAAAGAGCTTCTTGTTCACAGAGATTAGCTGAGGGGCTTGGGGATAAGGCACAAAAGTGCAGTTTTGAAAAAATTGACATATTAACGATTTCAAGTAAAACTAGTACCTACTATTGCATATTCTGTGAAAAATTCGCTCCCAAATTCCAAATTTTAAGCATAAACAAGTTAGTTTGAATTTTCTTTCTGCCATAGGGATCCATGCAATTTCGTAACTGTAAACTTGTATTTCTCGAAATAGCAAAAACTGCACTTATGAGTTGTGCGCCTTGTCCCTCAAGCCCCTCAGTTCAGACAGCGCTGAAAGTAAAATTTGTTACACAAACAAGGACTGCAGTCCTATGAGCAGTCCCGTGGCTGTTACAATTTTTAAAGAAAATAAAAAAGAATCCTGATCTCCAATGTGAGGTAAATTACGAGTATGAGAATTGCTTGAAAAATTACTTTCTGGTTGATATCATGCATTCGAAGAAGGAATAATACGTACGTATAATACAAAGGCCAGTGGCGCGTTTGAGAGACCATCCGGGACAACAATAGTTACGAGTACGAGATCGGCATACATTTGGCCTGGAAACAAAATTACAAACAAAAATTAATATTCAATGCCCAGATCTGAATAAAAATTTTAAAGTATGAAAATACATTTTTGGATAAGACACGGAAAAAGAAAAAAACGCGTTTGCGTCTTGACTTGATGCACGAGTGAACTACGGTGCGTGACGCTAGTAAAACTGTCAACGCCTGCATCGAGGACTGGATACAACTATTCCGGCTTGATGGATGTCTGTGTTGCATAAGTCCGAAAATGAAGGCGTTACGATTTTGTCGCGGCGCGATGAGCGACGAGGAAGACGCTTCTGGCGATACAGCAGGCCCGCTGTGCGCTGTGGCTGTGGACTAATTCAGTAACCGTGTCATTCGACAATCGATCAATTCGATCGTAAATCAAATCATAAGTATGACTTCCAAGTTTTCAGGGTTGCCAAAATTTGTTCATTTTCATATTCCCTGATTTTTTATTGGAATTTCTCGGACCACAAAATGTCCGGATTCCGCGACTTCCTCTTACTGTACCACTTTCTCTCCCTTGCCGTCGAACTGAAATTCCCCTTTTTGTTTTCCTTTAATTTTGCCGACTTTAGTTACAAACTTTAGTCCAACATTTTCTCCCTTAGTCTACTAGAACCACCCATTTCAACCAATACGATTGCTCCATACTCCTTAGGTATATGTCGCAGGCAATTGGCAATCGCCGGCAATTTACAAGCCAGTGGTGAATAAATACAGAAAATCATAAAATTCAAAAATAAAAGAACAAGACTACAGTACTGATTATGTTGCCTATAATGTGGATAGACACTTTTCCATCTTTAAAAACATGGTAGAAAGAAGCACATTCAGAGGAGCGTGCTGTGATTTCCGTGACATAAGTTGGGTTGAGATCGGACAGGCAACTAAACTAACATCGTAACAAAGCGTAGAGTATCACAACAAATGAAGGCGCTTCAAGCCGAGCTCATACTTTTGAAGACCATAACCCTTAAAAATTGCATCATGCCGATGCGCATTATTGCGATTTTTTTAAACAATATGTGAACCGCTTGCAAATTGCCGGCGATCGCTAATTGCCTGCGACATATATATTCTTCGTCTATCGTTATGTCTATCAATTGCAACAATCAGCCTGCAGACTGATTACTGAAATTGGCAGACGCCATAGACAAAGAAGACAGGGAAAATTCAGCGATGCAACTGGTTGACACGGGTGGTTGTTATAAATGACTGACAAACTAAAAAGCCTCTCGTGGATTGCTGTTAATCAGTCCACTACTTCGTCCATCTCAACTATCTATTCCAACCGATAGGCTTGCTAAATTTTCTCGTGATCTCCTTCGTCTACAGCTTTGTCTATTAATTTCAAGTACCACTCATGGATTGCTGTTAGTTATAGTCTACTACTTAGACCATCTCAACCATTTGTTTTAACCGATAGGCTTGCTCAATTTTCTCGTGGTCTTCTTTGTCTAAAGCTTCGTCCATCAATGCAAAGAATCAGCTCGCTGCTGAAATAGGAGCGAGAGAGAGAGAGAGAGAGAGAGAGGAGAACGGCAAAGCCTCGTGGACGGAGACGCGATGACGAACCGCAGGCGCACCACGCCAGACCAGACGCCACCTCCGCCGCACAGTGGACCGAGTCCATCAGAAAGATCGGACATGAAATTTTTGACCAACATTGCAACTTTTGATGTAAAACTCGTCTCATGTTACATTATGAGGGGTGCTTCTTACAGAAAATTTTACGAGAAAACCAATGGAGCCACTTTCAGAACCTCAAAGTTCTGTATAAACGGAGTTATAAGCGTTTAAAGTTACAAAATTTTGTCCGACCTCTCCTGTTGACTCGATCCACCGTGCGCCGCCTCCGCCGGACCGATGAATGAACGAGCTCAGACCCGATGAATGAAAAGAGAGGATGGGCAGATGAATGAATGGACCATTGGACCGCACCAACACCGACACGAAAATAAACACCCGACCGTTTCCCATTCTCAATGACTCACACACGCCTCGCGCATGAGCCGCAGCGTATGCACGGATCACCCGGAACCGGTTGTCAGACCGCGGACAACCGCGGTGACCGCGATTTGCCGGTTGGGTTTCGTTGATTTTTGGAGATTATACGGGGACATAATGTGAGGGATTTGGAGGACAAGGTGCATAAGTGCAGTTTTTGCTATCTCGAGAAATAGAGAAGTTCCGAAATTACATGGATCCTTATGGCGGTGAGAAGGTTCAAACTGACTTTTAAATGCTTGAAAATTGGAATTCGGGAGCAAATTTTTCACAAAATATGCACTAAGACTAGTTTTACTTGAAATCGTTCATATCTTAATTTTTTCAAAAACTGGATTAATGCGCCTTGTCTTCTAAGTCTCTCATTACATAGGTAATAAGTGCAAAACTGAAGTTTTCAGAAAACGGGCTCACAAGTGTCAGACTGGAAAATTTCATTGGAGGAAGCCTCCGTTCTTTGTTAAATTGCCACTAATCACCCACAAGACTCTTCGAAATCGTTTGGATGATTTAAAATCGACCGGGTTTTTTTTTTAATTACTTAAAAACGGTATTTTATTCATTTTCATGTTAGGATAGTGTTACACAAGACAGCCGTACGACGTACGGCTATATTTGTACACCTCATAGCACATTTTGAGACCTGGGGAGCTTAACTTTCCTCAAATTTCAAAAATAAGGGACACCCTACCGCACGTGCTATCTTCTGCGTGCTTCCGTGGTTGCATTTTGGACATATACAACCAACACACTTTCAAGTTAGAAATTGGCAGAGGAAGGCGGAACTTTACTTGAAAGCACCGTTTTTATTGTTTCTCTACAGTAATAATGTCACTTACGGTTGTTTTGCCTAAAACGACGACGTTTGTAATGTATTTTTTCCTCCATTTAAAAGTATGTAAAATAATCGATTCTCGGTAAGGCAAACTGCCTCCCCTAAAATCGATATTTTTAATGGATTTAAATGAGGGAAAGCAGGGTTGCCAACTTTCAAGAATCGCCACTGGTCAAAGGGTGCAGCGGGCCTGGACACAGATGTGTTCCCAAAGGGAGGGAAGTCTCAATTTCCTCAATGTTGATTATTCTATGGCTTCACGATGGAAATCATGGATCGTTACTCAATCTCCACCGGTCGGTGTTTCGGCCTTGGTTCCCAGATTCGCGTGGGCCGCGACGGAGTTGAGACAGTTAACAAGCGGGCTGATAATGGGACCAAGAAAAAAGTCGACGAAAGCGAGGAGTGAAATAGGATAAATCGGGGGAATAGGGAGGGGGAAGGGGGGAGCCCCGGCGGCTGCCAACTGGGAGCGGGAGCGGATGAACGGAGGAGTGGACAAATTAATTCCAATAAAATGCCGGCGCGATTTGTCAAGATCCGAGATGCAGAATTGCAGATAAAGATGTTGCTCCAGCTGATCCCGATCCTGATGCAAATCGATTAAACCCTCGGACTTTCGGGTTGAGCAACCGGCATCTAATCTGGATTCCTTTCCGACTGGTAACATTCCTCGGCCGTGATTGTTGCTGAGATTTGGCCTAGTAATAAGGGGTACGGACGGAGACGAATCAGAGACGAGAGGAGAGACCCTCCACACGTACTTCGGCTATAGGCCTCGATAGACGATCAAATTCCCGAACCAATTCCGATCAAAGTAGCATCAAAGTGTTGGGAGTCATTAGTCTTAAACTCATTAATTTGCTTCATTTTAAAATGAAAACTTGGCAGAAATGTTTTCTGTGGCAGGAAATGATGAATGGTGGCACTCCGTTCTGATCTTACTTTGAACAAAAAAGTGCGGCCCGTCAAAATTTGATGGTAGATGGTGACCACCAGTCATCAGCATGTCTACTTTGATCGGAATTGGTTCGGAATTTGATCGTCTATGCAGGGCTTATGGTGGAAGCTTTTACTTTCGAGACTTCAGCATTAAATTGTTGACTTATCTACATGGTTGATTTTTGAAAACGTGATAGCAGTTTCGTTTTGCAAACAAGCCGAAGTTTGGGGAGCTTGTTTGGCTCATGACGTCACCCGAAGCTCATCATCCACCATGTAGGTAGGTCAACAGGTGAAAAGAATAATGACTGTTGCTTCCTTATGATCAGGGCCGGATTTACTAACTTGTTGCCCATGGGCCGCCTGTATTTTGCCGCCCCCTTCTCATTCGTTTTGAAACATCAATATAAAAACCATCAAGTGAAAGTGCCGGAGAGGGAGGGGTGCATAAGACGCGTTTACTCGTGTTGGACACATTTTTTGCGAAAGCCCTGTCAACACTACTGACAAAAGTTCACGGAAGTTGGCGCGAAAGTTAAGTTCCGTAAACCTATCTCTGTGTGGACAAGGCCTTCCATTTATATTAAATGAACGAAAGAATTAGGGAAGAACAAACATAACTGTGGTCTAATAATTTTAACTTTCGCCGCCGCAATGCGCTGACCGCACAGTGTTTGGCGCAATGCGTGAAGAATTCCTACAGTCTTGTAGGAGCTGTGCGTTTCACGCCAACCGCTGCTACATGCACTGTTTGACGCAGTGCGTGAAGTATTCATGCAGTCTTGTAGGCGCTATGTGTTTCACGCCGACCGCTGCTGACCGCAGCGACCGCACTGTGTCTTTGACGCAATGCGTGAAGTATTCATGCAGTCTTGTAGGCGCTAACATGCGTTACATGCCGACCGCCGCGCCGCGGGTTTCTCCTTTTCATCTCAAGTTCTCGTCATCATTGCTCTCTGCGCCGCGCTGTTCCAGGCCAAATTCCGTGTTCGGTCTCTCTCTTAGTCTTAACTCGACTAATCAAAGGTGCTGTCTATTGTATCGCAAAAAGACGACAAAATTAGAGACATACTCTCAGAAATGAGAGATTTTGTCGCCTTTTCTAGTTTGTAATTTTTTTCTGAATCCGATTTATCTTTATAGCTACATTTCAAAAAAAATTGCAAGATTTGCGGCACTAAAAAGAAAAACACATTGGATCTAGAGTCCAGACTCT